AGCTAAAAGGTTGTCCAAAAAGAATAAACATCATTTAGCAAGTAAAGCAGGAGGCACGGAATGTACAATAAAGACTAAAACTGGGAGTAACTCCCAAGCTGCCGTATATTCTAAGGCCAACAACCATGCTCTAAATATCCTAACTAAGTTTGACCTTAATGTCTCATCATTCATGGAAGCTCTTTTACCCACTGCACTAAACTTCTTTTCTACATTATATACACAATTCTAACTCCACAGACAGTCCCTTCGGATACATCCGATAACTCCACAAACAGAAAACTCATACTATGAAGTGAACAGTTAAGATAAGCACCCATTTCTGTTGGTTAATCGCATGCTTGGAGCCACTAACCATAGCAAAGAGACTTAAATCAATCAAACAAATCATGGTCTTCAAACTTAACTACATTCATCAATTGGCTAAACAGAGAAAAATTCCCAACTTTCTCAGTGAACACGGCCTTTCTATCTACCATATCATATCATATCAATCCTCCCACGAAGAAGATGGAAGAACTACAACAACAACATCCATCCAAAGCTTCCTCACCAAAGGAAGCATCATCAACAACCACAACCGCAACCACAACAACAACAACCACAACTGCTGTGAATTCTTCAGACTCGAATTCTTCTACCCTAACAACAGAAGAACCCAATGCTCCTCCTCAACAGAAGAAGATTGAGGAACAACAACAACAACAACAACAACAACAACAACAAGAGCCTGCTAAGGATGTTGCTGAAACGGAGACAAATCAAGCACAACCTCAACAGCAAAAACAAGGTGAAGAGAAGGTAAATGCTGCAAATTCTCCTTCAAAACAAGTGAAGGAACAACAGGAACCGCCATTGCAGCTAATTATCAAGCTAAACACAAAGAAGATAGTACTAACCGAAAAAAGTTGCGGTGGAGGAGGGGTTTTGTGCAGAGTCTTCGTTAGCTATCGATGGGAATTCACTAGTCAATTGTTCTGGTTCGTGGCATTTCCTATCCAGCACTAAGTTAGTAGGAGGGGGAAAATTGGAAGCACAGAGATTCAATTGAACTGCTGTCAAAAACTAGAACGAAGTAAACGATACATGGAATAGAATTCAAGAGTAAAAAGTTGCTTACAGATAACCAACAAACAAATGATTTGGGAGAGATTTATCAAACTCCTGGGTTCGCACTGCAGAGCATACCCTGAGACAGCGGCCGCGAGCTGGTGGAATCGATGCCGACACGGCGGGGAGTGAAGCGGGAGAAGCGATTGAATAGCACCCAGCTGAGCAATTGGCCTTGAGAATGTGGAAGAAAGGCGAGCTGGGAAAAGAGAAGCGGCCGAGGTGGGCGTGGGTTTGACGCCGGCGGTCTTCGTTTGCAATCGACGAAGAGATGCTCGCTCTCGTCGTCCCTTGCTCGCCGCCTTCACTGTCGTCGTCGGAATCCGGAATCCGAATCGCCGCCTTCACTGCCGCCTTCTATTCGTCGTCACCCACTGCTCGCCGTCTTCACTCGTCGTCACCCACTGCGTGGAGAGGATCGCCGTCTTCACTGCTCGCTAGCTGCGTGGAGAGGATCGAAGGAAGGAAGAGGATCGAAGAAAGAGGGGTTTCGGCGGTGAGAAGAAAACCGGTTGTACCGGTCATCAACACACAAATAAAATAATAATTTAATAATTTAAATGAAATCTAATGGTTGATATAGTTTGGACATGATCTAATGGCTGTAAATGTTTTATAGTACCAATACTATAAAGCACACTAAAATGCCTCTTGCGATAGTTGTTCTCCCGTCAATCCTGTTTTGGGCCGGCAGGAGCCCAGAATTATTGATGCGGCTCACGAAGACAATCACAATTATTCGGCCCAATCATTACGACACACGACTTTAGAGATTGAGCCCATCGATGCATGTGAAAGTTACATGTTATTTGTCATAATTCATTGTTTTTGTTGATATTTATCTATTATTCCATCATTAATTGGGTGCAATAAGAAATACATCGTACCCAAGTAAAAATTTCATATCACTTTAATAATGTTCAGTTTGTATACGCAATTGAAATTTACATTAAAATGAAATCGAAGTAGACTGTAGACAAAGACATGGAATCTACAAGTAATTATAGTATGTCTTATAAATTCATTTCTCTCATGGCATGAATCCATACTGTTGGCCTTTTGACAAACACATGTTTCCATGTTCTTCAATGGAAATCAAAGATTTCATCCCTGTTTTTATGATGTGCAATATGGATTTAATTGTTATCGTTTTATACAGCTTGTGGTAACAATTTTGACTTCTTGTTTGGTGGGTTGTAAAAATATTTTGTTCCGTGGTTGGTTTTATCAAAATAGAAAATAAGATAATGAAGTATTAAATGGAAGGAATGACTAATCTAAAAATTGTTAAACAAACAACCAAGATAGTGAAGTATTAAATGGAAGGAATGACTAATCTAAAAATTGTTAAACAAACAATACATTTGGCAGTGATCATTTTTTAGCACGTGCTGCTTTACAACCTTAAAGAAAGAATATCAGACGAAGAGTACATCTGTAATCTGGTGTTGAGCAGTTATGACAGTAAAATTAGCCCTTACAGCAGCCTGCGGGCCTTGTTGTGGTAGAGTTCTTATGCAAGAAGGGCCGGAAAGCCTCCTTTCTACTCTATTTATTTAGTTTTCTTCATACTCCGTAAATAAAATCTTAGACAATCTAATAAAACTGAAAAAAGTAGTATGACGGATCACATCACAGCAATAATGCTTATTCCCGGACAAATGGAAGAATAAGTAATCGTTCAACTCGTCTAGACTTTAAATATAAATAAATCACCATCGATCCAATCAAATTAAACTAGCATAAAGGTTAGTTGCACCGTATTATACATGAACCAACAACTTTCGCCAAACACAAAATAAGTTTCCTCAAATATATCAAAATTGTCAAGTTATTCTCCAAACACAAAGTAATTTTCCTCAACTATATCAAATTGTCAAGTCAGCCAGCAAAGGGGCAACTTCAAATCATCAAACATCATAGCTTTTAACTATTTTCTTATCTCTCTCTATAGTAGTCGAGTTATCCATCGATCAGCTTCAAACATATCCTACGCGAAGATGCTTCTTTGAAGTAATTGACGACTTTCGCAAGTAATATTGATAATGTCAAGCACTCCAATCTCTTGAAAGGAGATTAGGGATGGCAATTACCCACCCATGGGTAATTTTACCCAAATCCAAATAGATCCATTTAGTATGGGTAGGGTTTGGATGAAGTGTATATGGGTTTGGAGGTTTGTAGATGGGTTTGGGTTATGTATGGATATTGCTTTCATTATGTAAATGGGTATGGGTTGGATATGGATATCCATTTACTTGAGGGTGTTTTAACTACACACAAAAATTGGACCTATTTGTAAAAACTCAAAAAGTTTAGTTACCAAAATGTAATACCAAAAAATTTTAGGTACTAAAATGTAATTTTCCATCAATATTTTGAGGACTTATATGCAATAAAATTTTAGGTACTAAATATGCATATCTATTAAGTTTAGGTACCAAACTGTAATTCGTCTTTGGGCATGGGTACAAACCCAAATCCATGTGTTAAAAACCCAACCCAACCCAAGTAAATGGGTATGGGTACAAATCCATCTAACTCTACCCATCTAACATTTATTTGGAATCCATAACCAACCCAATTGGATTGGATAGTAAAATACTCATGGGTATGAGCAAAATTTCCATCCCTAAAGGAGATCGATGTTGTTCCAGAATCCCAAACATATAACTCAATATCTGCAGCAACGACAACGGAAAAAAAAAAAAAAAAAAAAAAACACAACTTGTGGAAAAAAAAAACTTGATGGTATTAAAACCCGCACCTGCAAAAACACTATATACAACATTCTCATAAAGTCGTCCAAGCACATACCCCAGTGGTAGAGCCACGCAGCGTCAAATTTTTTGCACTCCGTACACACCAGAACAAGGAGCTCAGGTAGTGACCGGCCATCGTCTTGTCCATCTCATTCAAACTTTTCGCGTCCGACGCCTTTAACTCGACATCCGCACAATCCAAAGCAGGAAAGGCTAAATTGGAGAACCCTTTCCCAGCTGTCACGAATTCACAAAGAGTGAGAACTTTGAGTTGTGGTGCATTCATCTCAATCTCGTAGCCCGACATGCCCTCCAATTCCAAGCTGCGCAATCGGGGTCCATGTATCGTGATCCTATGTCCGTAAACCAGTTTCGGAGCGCAGAAATTAATGTGCAAACTTTGCAAGCAGGGAAAGTTGCCGTCGGAAATAACGAGATCCCGAAAATCGAAACGGCAACGTCGCAGGATCAAGGTGGTCAGCGTTGGGAAACCAGAGCAGGCCGCAAACTCACGGTCCAGTTTGAAGCAGGAAAGGTTTAGAGTTTTCAGATCATCATTCCTCTTCCTCGTCTTCTTCTTCTTACGCTGAAATCGCGACAATGATTGTTGATGCTGTCCAGGGTCAACTCTTCTACGTTATGAGACAACGCATAGCCGACGACTTGCAGGGCCCTGCTGGCCTTGCCTCTTCCATCGTTGCTCAAGTAGACAATCTTGTGGAGTTTAAGGTCGTAGCGGATGGGACAAAACCTTGGACACGAACTTGTCGAATTTCGCGGCTGGATGGAAGGAAGTCCTGTCGAAATTGAGGAAAGGGACGTGTTTCCAGGTGCGGTTCCAATCCAGCGACAGTACCGAGGTCTGAACAGTTGTTTTGGTGTCGAGGAAACAAAGAATGTGATAAAGAATGGGTTCTGTCAGATGAGTTAATCTATCGGTAGTACTACTAACACTGGTGTTCTTCTTCATCATCACGACGCCGCCTTTTTCCAGCTTTCACCAAATCCACGTCCTTGTTCATAGCTTACCAATGTGTCGATTTTCTCTGAATGACAGGACTCGGTCCACCTTATAATCTTCCATCAGCGATTTTACAGTCATATATATAGGTAAAACAAAACCCTATAAAACATGACTTGCTCACCAAGAATATTGATGCAATACCGTTTGGGTTATTGGGAGCCCAGAATATTGATGCGGTCCATGAGCGCCAGTCAGAATTGTTTCGGCCCAAGCGTCACGGCCCACGGGTTTAGAGGTTGAGCCCATCTTTATAACAAACGGGCGCAGAAGGCGACGTGTCACCTACCGCATCCACCGAATTTCCTTCCCACTTTTTCTCTACTAGGAGCGTGCTCTCCACAAGTTCAGCAGCAGCAGCCTCTCATTTTCTCCTCCCCCTACTTCCATCGATTCCTTCCTTCGTCTTCCATGGCTGCGATTGCGACCTCGGTAAGCGCTAGCTTCTGCTACTCCTCGAGAATCGACGGCTATAAGCCCGTCTCCACCGCCGCCGCGGTGCCGATGCGCCGCCGGCGGGTCGTGTCGGTGAGAGCGGAGGCTCAGGCGATTAACCCTGAGATCAGGAAGAGCGAGGAGAAGGTCGTGGATTCTGTCGAGGTTGCGGAGCTGGCCAAGCCCCTGACCGCCTACTGCAGGTTTCGATTTCTTTCCCCTACTCTCATCCTCTTGTAGTTCTAATTGTTTTTTTTTTCTTCTCAATTTCTGTTCAATATGGTGGAATTTCCGGTTGGTGGTTGGGTTATGAACAGGTGTTGGAGGTCGGGGACTTTCCCACTGTGTGATGGGAGCCATGTGAAGCACAACAAAGCGACCGGCGACAATGTTGGGCCTCTGCTCTTGAAGAAGCCGAAACAGTAGGCTGTTTCGATTCTGCTGATGGATTCGGGAGTTCCATACTGATTTCCTGTGAGTGAGGACTGAGAAATTACTTACAACATATGACTATGAATATCGATTTGTTGCTGGTAATGTTGTAGCTTGTTAATGAAAATGCTGCCTTGGGTTCCAACGTAGTTGAGCATATTTATCCTCTTTTGAGTTCTGTCAAATGGGGGTGTAGGGATGAGTCCTGTGAACTCTTTTAGTGAATGCTTTGGCTTGTTGCAGAGTGCTCTGCTATTTTCTTCGCTCGTCTCCTACACCACACAGTCTATGTAATTGATGCAAGTATCCAATTGTGAACATGGGTACTCAAAAGTTAAGAAACTTGTTTGTTGGCCTTCCTTGAATTTGAAGGGACAGGGAGAGAGAAAGGAGATACCAACAAGTTTCTTCTTGTTCATGTGTGGGTGGGCTTCGGTTTCAAGAGCTTTTCATGGTTTGCCCCATGGACCTTTTAGCCCCATTCCCATAGAGTGGACCTTACTAGATAGGGGAATGGATTTGACTTGAAGTTGAAATTGGATGAAGGATTTTGGCACAATTATTATGTATTTGGAAAGATAAAAAAATTCGAGATTGGAGATTTTGAAAATTATAAATTGTAAATTTTTGAAATAGATGACCCACATAAGCTTCTTTGAAAATTTTCATCTTTTTTTTTAAGTTATTCCTCTGGTCGACTATGTATTTGTCATTTCTAACCGCCTGAGGCTTCAACAAGCTGTCCAATTTTTCACTGGGAATTGCCTCGCCAAGATCATCATCGCTTGGTGTTAGTGATTACAATTTACACAATGCCACCACCTCGTTGTTGTCAATCTCGATTACGAAGATCTATAACATATTCCTGTCTTCGTCGTCTCCAATCACCTCTTCAATTCAATATGATTTGTCTTCTACAACCAGAATCTCAACTCCAATCCAGTTCAGATTTCTCGTCGGAGAGAGAGAGAGAGAGTCCTCCTCTGGCCCCACATTACGCAATGCAACAGTTTCTGGGATTTAGATTCGATAATAACGAGCCACAACCGCCAATGAAAGTTGTGGCTAAGCAATGGAAGAAGAAGAAGAGGTGGTTTAAATTGTATTTTTGGTTCCCTCTTCCTACATCATAGAAGAAAAAAGGATATTTGGCTTAAATCTCTCAATAATCAAATTACACATTGAAAGGACTCCGTCGTCGTTTCATTGGTGACATTCACTATGGCTTGGGATTATTTTAGGCAACATAAGCGGAAAGCAAATTGAGGTTGAAGTAATTAGTAGATTGGTCACTTTTTATATTTATAGTAGACAAAAAGGGTGAATTCAAATTGGAATAATAAAAATTTTAATAATGTCGCGTGTTGTCTTGTATTGTTAAAGTGCTGGTCATTGATTAATTAAGCATGTGGCCCATAACAATTAACAACAGGATAATTGCAAAGGAAGAGACAAAAGAAAGCCCGCGCAAATAAGCGCAATGATGAACGGACCAATTGGCTTTGGAATAATCCGAAAGGAAAAGGGACACTGGGCCCGATCTTAATTTGATTCCACAGCTTGGAAGATCAATTAAAGTTTGTAATCGGATCTTTAATTATGTGTCTATCGTTATTCGTTAAGATATCGTACTATATGAATGGCATGACAACTAAGAATGGTTACGTGGTATTTTAATGCCAAATTTTGGTGGCGGGTAAATTACTAGAGTTGGAGATGATATGTACTCTTTGAGACTTTGAAATAACGATTGTGAAATTATACCAGAAATTATATCAGAAAAGTTATTAAAAAAAATGACACCTTGTATTGGAATTATGGTTCAATCAGTTAAAGACGGCTAAAAACTACTTATCGATTTAACTTGCAGTACGAGGCTTTTTTTATCTAACTCTGCCAATAAGGTACCACTTCACAAATATTGCTTTGGAGCTTATTTGGAGCTTGAGACCTCGAAGGTTATTCTCTGAATGGTTTCTCCCAGGCATAATAAACTCCGTCGATGAGGGCAAACATATACTGCTTTCGGGAACGAAGGCAGATGGAGCATATATGTTTAAGCAATGGTTTGTTTTCCCATGAATTCAGGTACATACAAGAACATTCAATGAAAAATATATGTATTGTAAGTTGTAACTATCCCAATCAAATTATCACCAAAACCGAACTTGTGATAAGTTGATAGGTCTCTTGAAGGAAAGCCTCGTGAGCAAGTGGGTATGGATTGGTGATTATGGAATTTGCCCTGTCAAGCGGTGATACAATTTGTTGTTTCTAGTTTTTTAGTGTTTGTCAATGCTTGTTTCTTCTTTGTAACTTTTTCTTTTTGTACAGCTCTTGTTGTTTCTGGTTAAACTTTTCTAAATTATTAATACTAAATTCGAATGACAAGATCATAAATAATTTATGCATAAATTGTTTTGTGTCAACACATGCCATCAATAGTACTTGTTTATGTGAGAGACCTCACTATCATTGTAATGGATATAAAATTATTTATAATTTTATGTTATGAAAACTCGCCTAATTTTAGGATGTTTTTGCAAGTATGTAATTACTAATTAGCACAGTTCTCTACAGAGTTCAAGTTATTTTAATAATATGATGATTTTTTTCTGTTTAGTTCTGGTAAGAATATAATATAAGTAAATAGAATTGGTGAATGTTTTGAGCTTACTCAAGGCATGTAACAATTCATGGTAATTACAAAAAAAAAAAAAAAAAGGTTCATCTAATTACACTAGATCTAATATCCAATATTTAATAAAAAAACATTTTACCAAATGCAATCGTTGTTATAAGAACTAGATCATAAAAATCGAACCGCCATTCAGTTACAATAGATGGTGGGTCCGTTTACTTGGTGAGGTTGGTAGTAGAGTGAACAAGTTTCCCTAATGGTTGGATGGGGAATCTGAATGAACGGCATGAATTTTTCAATGGTTAGTTATATTGACCACAGAAACAAGTTTGCGAAGAGTATACTATAATGTGAACCGAGGTCAACCGGTCCTAATTTGTAATTACATTTTTTACAATTCATACAAAAATACATTTCTACTTTTTTTGTTTTCAATATTATTTATCGTCCTTACATGATCTTCTACTTACTTTCATCTTAAATACTAATTAATATTTCTGGTTCAACATACGTTCGAGTTCTGAAAACAAACTATACAAACAATAGATTTGGACCCATCCAAACCCAATATCATAATTCTTCTTGTTGGGGGAATGAATATGGGCCAGCCCAAAAGGAAAAGTCCAAAGAAGGGGACTAGTGGATCGAAGACGTGGGCCCAACCAGGAGAACTGAGAAAGCCCACGGGGGCAGGAACCTTGGGCTGAAGGGCGCGTGGACCAAGGCCTGGATGGCCAGGATGACGTGTGAGACAAGTGGGACCGGACACCTGGTGAAGGGCGTATGGGACAAAAGCAGCCAACGGTCGGAAGTGTACGAAAAAGCTGATCACGTGATGTCATGTGCCTCAAACCTCTGACCGATGTGTCAGGTGGTCGAGGGGCATGCTCAAGGGCTGTACGACGCATTTATGGCGGGCCTGACACCGGGCGAGAGCGACGGATACCGGTCGATCTCGCCCTGGGTATAAATAGTGGAGTAGGTAAAACTCATTTACTCAGTTTTGCTTCTCTTACTAGAACTGTTACTTACTTCTCTCTCTAAAAAGAAGGGTTCTCACTTGGGTGTCGGAGTGCTAATTAACGGGCCAAACCGGTCCGCTAGGCGCTTGTGTGTGCAGGGAGGCGAAAGAAGAAAGGTACGTGGGAGATCGGAGTGCGGAGCGGAGAAAGAAGGCTTCTGGGCATAAACACTTCTTGCAAATACAAATACATAAACTCTTACAATTCCAGTTCGAAATCACTATATTCTACTTCCTGAAATTAGGCCAAATACACGAACACCAAACTTTTCCTATTTACAGCAAAAAACAGTCAACCATCCACTTTCAATATAAATCCTCTTCCCGGGAGACTAACGAGACTCCAAAACTGTGTGCTTTCTTCGTGCCTCCATTACCCTGAATACGAATAATATGCAGAGTCAACCATTATTTATTACGCTGCAGATTCGGGATACTTTGTTTATTCATAGACCGTAACACCTGTTAGATCCCCGCTAACTAGGGTTTATAGTTTATACTGCCGTACTGCGCCTACATGTGAAAATCACAATTAACAAATGCTAATTAAGGATCCCCTGTGAAAAAAACAATACTAATATAAGAATCTGTGCTAATCCAGCCGGACTCCGAGGTAGGTGTCCCCGGAGAACGTTGTGGATCATGTTGTTGTGTTTTGATACGTGTAGAGCGACTGATGGCGCCATTTACAAGTATGTAGAGCTGATCCCTTCATTCAATCAGATTGTAAAATGCAAAAAAAAACCTACAATAAAATCCATCCGCCGGCGAATTGGCTAGGCTCCACGAACTTGGCTAGTTGTGTTCCTCGTAAGTACATGGGCGATCACCTTGTTTGTTTGATGACTTATTTTTGGCTGGAGAAGGGTCTTGTGTAAACGGCACGCTGATTCGTATTATTAATCAAGCGAGGTTCGGAGATCGTAATTAGATCTTGGAAAAAGCAGTATCGGAGTTTGGCGTCCACTCAATCGAAAATATGAGTACTTGTGCTGAGGTCTCACCTCCCGGATTCACTAGAAAAGCCTTCGTTAGCCATGTCGGCACATAACATACTCTAGTAACGGAGTTGGACGGAGACTAATGGAGAGTGACTAAATGTTGGATTGTTTCAGTAATTCGAGTGACCGAAATTGATATTAATTTTTTCGAGTGACTAAGCATGGACATGTTTTAGTAATCCAAGTGGCCGAATGTGTCATCTACCCTTTAATTTTGATTGTTTTGCTCAATGAGCTACTTGAATCTCATATTGGTGACAGAGGTTACCGATTGAAAACGACAAGGAGAGAAGGCAAATTGAAAATTCGTAAAGATTTGAAACAAGCTCCTAAATGCTAATGTTGCATAGTCGTCGCGCAAATATCAACGAACGAACGAGTGATTTGTTAGTATGAGTAAATACTTTTTGGATATTTAAATTTGCTTGATAAGAACTTCCAAGTATCAATTTGCTACCAAATCTTGTGGAATCTTTAGTTAAGGAGAAATGAACTAATTCGTGATTAAGATGATCCCAAAAGGGCAACAATTAGCTTGCAAGCTTCCACAAGGAATCCTTTTGTTTAAAGTTGTTTCCTTTGATGTGGAAGAAACACTTAAGCGCCTAGAGAGGAGGGATAGGATGCATTTAAGTCTTACTTTTGTCGGTGGACCAAATTGTTGTCACGGTAAATTCCTATGTGTAGTCTCCTTCGCGCGATTTAAAGGGTTAGTTGTCGAATCGATCTCAATAGTATTATTTGTATGAATAATGTTTATCGCGCGCTAATCGCACTACTTGGTGTCCACAAGGCTAGTGCAAAATTTAGTTGTGACCAATGCAGTTAAAAGTCCGATTCTACCTACAAGAGGAATATGCGTAAAATCGTAAAACGTAGAATCAAAGTGTAAAATCGTAAGTTTTTGACGCACCCTCTAAAATAGCTAAAATATGTTAAGTACAACATATAGTATGTAAAATGCGAGT